TTTGTTAATCCTCGAAGAAAGCTATACAAACAAGCATACAAACACACAAATTAAAACCAACGATAATATTATAATAACAAACACTCTAACTACTTTTTTGCCACCCAAGCTCTGATACCAGATGTTAGGACCTTCCTCTTGCAACTCACGGTGATTTTCGGGCTCAGTTAACCATTAAACATCGAATTCAACATCAAAACCAAAGTCCCCAACTCGCCGGCGCTACCCTCTCCTATGGTTGCTTTCTTCTCTTGCTTGGTTGATTCAATCCACACACGTCATTCCAATTCATCACTGTTAGGACCTTCCTCTTGCAGCTCACAGTGATTTTCGGGCTCAGTTAACCATTAAACATCGAATTCAACATCAAAACCAAAGTCCCCAACTCGCCGGCGCTACCCTCTCCTATGGTTGCTTTCTTCTCTTGCTTGGTTGATTCAATCCACACACTTAGGATGGATACCACTCAGGTAAGGTTCACAAAGACTCAAGCAATTTGGGTGGAGAAGAAATCACGAAGAAGATGAAGGCAGAAGACACGGCTGGACACAACAGTTTCTCTTTTCTCACGGCTTCAACTTTTGGACGGGTTCAACAAGGATGAAAACACCAATATATATAGTAAGTCAAGTGGCCAACATAAGGTAAGTAAGGATATGGTAAGTAGGCTCGATTAGGGTTAACTTCCAATGGAAAGAATCAACAAGCCACAAAGAGTATTAGCCGTCCAATAGGTAAGGCAACGTTTGGTCGGTTCATCCATTATTCGATGTTGAATTATCGTTCAGTCATTTATGTCGACTGATAAAATTGGTTCTCATCATCGCCCGGGAGGTCGTTTGACAACATAATGTCTAACAATCACAATACACAACTTGGCATTTTCCCGACCCTCAATGGTCAAATTTTCCTTTCTCACTCGTGGGATGCACACTTCCCCAAACTTGATATTTTCACTCTAGCCCAATGTGTAAAAAACTTAAGGTTGCACTCAGATCACTCAATCTTTCCCTCTCAAATTTGGTTGGGTTGAACCGATAAAATAGATCATCTAGTCATGTATTAATTCGTCAAAAATTTTAAGTGCCTAGATCACAAACTAATGTTAGGCAAATTACTCACAATCCATCAATTCTTCAACAAAATCACCCCTAGATGCTTATAACATCCATCTTCTTTTTCTTCATTTTTCCAATGTAGGTAGTTCTCGCTCTGGTCCCTAAGGGTAGCCTTCTTCATTCGAAGATCGTCTTCTATACATTGGTGATGCATAGGGCCAGATTACTCAATGCTGACTCACACTCCTTAGGGTAGGCAACTTTTTCCTACATATATATATATATATATATATATATATATATATATATTTTTTTTTTTTTTTAAAACTT